CAGTGTCGAATTCTGTCGGGAGGTTGATGAGACCCAGACGAGTTCCAAAATGCAGTTCATCCAGATTAAGGGGACCGTTTTTTTATACGTGAAAGAATGAGCCCCTAGATGGGGTCTGGCACTTGCTGAAGGGTCATCTACATGATGCACTTCAACCACAAGCGATAAATTCTCTTGAGTTGCTTTGACTTTATTTTCACAATGTGGTTGTGTTTTCAGGGCTACTTCGAGAAACGTACCTCTTAATCTGGATGAACTGCATTTTGGAACTCGTCTGGGTCTCATCAACCTCCCGACAGAATTCGACACTGGGACGTGGGTATTGTAGCTACGTTACTGTTCCACTACGCAGCCATGGGTGCCAGGTGGTCACAGAACAAATGGGGCAGTCAAGAATAAAATGTTGAGTGGAATTATGGATTAAGCCTGGTCAATCGTCCCAGGCTGTACAATAAGTGGCAGAGAGCTAACACTAAAGAATTCGTTCTTAAATAGTGTTGGATTGACCTCTTTTATGCAACATGGTCGGAGCGACTATGAGACCTTGCGTAACATAACCAGTCCTGCGTCCTCTGCCCTATTATTTATGATTATTTCCTATATCAATCCGTTGACTTGGCACATTTTGTCGATTTCGTCGGCATACTTAGCACCGAGTTATAACTCTGCAAATTGGTCTTCATATCTACCCTCCTTATTTAGATGAAACTTTTTTCAGATGGTTCTGGGATGATACCATATCATGCATGCACGAATTCTTCTTGCCTTCCCTTCAATTCCATCTACCTTGTCGATTATCATTATCCATGCTTTCTTGTAGCATAAAATTTTTACTGTATTTTGACTCTCGCCTCTCGTTTTTATTCTTTCATGAAATTGCCATAAAGCCGATAAGATGCTTATGGTCGCCAGCTATGAAAAGGCTAAAGAAGTTGATAGACTCGGTGCTCGCCCTGGAGACTTTTACCAATGCCTTGCTAGAAGATTGTTGATACTGACTCCTCCACTGGCCAATCAAACCGATCCGCCCTCTCTGCAGCATGCAATGGAAGACTCGATGACAAATCTCAGCCATGTTATGAATGATGCTCTCACTCTGCATGAGCTGGTAGGCAGCTCAATCGACAAACACGCATTCCACGGGAATATGTCTCTCGACGGAATTCGGGTGGATCTTGCTCTGGAAGAAATCAAAATGCAAGCATTCAATGACATCGATGTAACAGAATTTATAGGAACGGGTGAGTCAAATTGCCTATACATGGATTTTAGTTCTGGTATATTTGGAGCCGTTCTCGAAATATTATGAATATACAGGTTAAATTTTTGCCAAATTTGGCTGTAAAACGGTACTTTCCTAGGGAGGACCAGATGATTTATTTTCATATCAGTTTTAGACAGTACAAGCATTCTCATGAATCCCTTTGCCTACTAATTTGTATGCACTGTAGAAAATGTTATGCATCGTAATTGTTAGGATCATGCTTGCTATCGAGGATTACCAGTTTCGTCTGTTTTTGGTATTGTAGTGGTAGCAAATCTAATCATGAATTTAAAATGAGCCTGATTTTTTTCATTGGATGTCACTGCTACATGAATCCCAAAAGGCCGTCTCGTCCATGCTTGACCACATCAGCATCTAAAGTAGGATTCGGAGTGTGAATGCATGGGTTTGGGAGTAGCGTGTTTGTCAAAGTTAAGTTTGACCAAGAAATAACTTATGCCTTTCCTTTTATCGGGGCAAGTTGTGAGGAAAAAAACAGTTTTCTACCTCTTGCCAAACCTACTGAAGTTCCCTTACCAATGAAAGAGTTGTGCAGGCCTCCAAGTAATACGACTCATCCTCTTCTTTGAGGTCTGGAGCACAATGCCTTTTTCAGCTTCTGAAGTTAAGTTTTAATAAAGTGGATTAAATAGAAGGCCTCGGCACCTCTGTGAAGTTCACTTTGCGTTTCCCTTTCATGTTGAATGGGCAGAAGTTTTGACCCCTCCACATGGCCACGGATGCCAGTGCTCCACAGGGCATATGTGACCTGACTAGTAAGCCCAAGCTTGTCACACTTTAGTAGTGGGACTGTTTTTTTGCACACAGCACAATTTATAATCCTGCTGGTTGATATACAAACTAGGTGAGAAAAACAGCAAAATATCTGCTGGTATAAATCTTTACAAGAGAAGCACGATAGAAGGAGACGTCACTGCTGACTTGAGTAAATAAGGGACACGACAAAATAAGATTGAGTCGTGAATGATTGTGCTGAGCAAGGTATGCCGAGTTGCTCTGTGGGTCAGATAGTTTCGCTGCCAGATACATTGAAGTCTGACTAATATGCTTAAATCTTTCGTGAAGTATGAAGGAGGGCATTTTCATTTGGTGTGGTCATATTATTACTCATTAGATGAGAAAATTGTAGACATTGCGTTGCAGTTAAGAGGACTATGTGATACCAAAGAACTGTGCATGTGACATTGGCGGTATAATGGGAACTTTAATTGTTAGTCATAAAACCACCTTAGGTGGCCTCGTGCAACTCAGTTAATTC